ATATTAGGGGACCCTAAAAAGTTAGGTTGCTTAGGGTCCAGGTAATCCGTAAGCCCCGAAGCCGCAAGCTCAAAGAACCTGAACTCCTTTTCCAATGGCCCAGGCCTTTGCATTAAATCCCTTCTCGAGCCGCTATAGAACACCATGTAAGCCCACTGGAATCCAGATGAATGCCTGGAAGGTGTTAGTGGGGTAGACAAAAAGAGCTTTAAATCCGAAAGCCGAAGCTTCAAAACCCTCAAACTTCCTTAAACCCCCTAAAACCCTAAAGCACGACATACCCCAAGGGTCCAAGTACCTAAGAATCACATACTTTCCAAAATCCTAACCTTCATAGCTACTATCCTAAACCCAAGTACCTGATTATTGGACCCTTCGGGATAGAAGCCCGAAGCCCCAAGACCCCAAAAACCCTCAACCCTAAAGCGCTACCCATTCACATCCAGGCCGATGGGGCGAGGCATCAGCGAGCTGAAGACGGCAGTGTGCTCAGTTCGTTTAGGGGTTTGGGGTTTAGGGTTTGGGGCTTCGGGCTTATGGGTTTAAGGTTTAATTACAGTAGGGTTTGGGGTTTAGGGTTTGGTAGGAGGTTCCTCAGGATTTTACAGGGTTTTGCATCTCGTGTTAGGTGGTTTTCTGAGGGCTTTCGTTGTGTTTGTTAAAGGTTTTAGGAGTTGGGATTTGGGTTTGTAATTTGGGGATGGCTTTGCTTGAACCCAGTGCCCCGTGAGGGGTATGTACATTCAGGATCGTCTGCACATGTGGTCCCTTCTCCCCTGAGAAACTCCCAGATGATCATGAGCCTTTACAGTAGCCAGTAGAAGCCCAAAAGTTGGAAACCCAATAGCCTCAATCCCTAAGAGTCATGTATAGGTTAGAAAGGGGCCCCCACCCTGTGATAGTGACTATAAGGATTATATTAGGGCCCTATTATATTCCTATTATACCACTATTGCAGGGTGGGGGCCCCTTCGAAAGTATAGGGAATCCCAGCACTAATTGTCCTTAATCCGGTTTCCAACCTTTTGGGGCTTACTATAAACCCCAAACCCCCTGAGGCCGAGGCCCTGGGTTCAACACCCCTAAACTCCAAGCCTTATCCTCTGAGCCTACCTGGGGATCCAAAAACCTAGTGCTTTTGGGGTTAGGTCCTATAGCTAAGGGGTCATAACCTACTATTTTGAAGGGTGGGGGGATACAGGTAAACCCTGACCTAAAGCCCTAAACCCTAGACCCCTAAAAGCATTTTCTCCAGAGCTGCAGCCCCAAACCCCTATCCGCTTGAAGGGCTGCCGGAGCTATCCAACGAAGAGAAGGTGGCGACATCTGCTTCTGAAGCAAATGTAGGGGTCTTGATAATTGGGAGTTTCCGAATATTAGGGGTACCCTATTGGGGGGTCCTGATAATATGGATCCTACTATTTGGGGGTACTATCTTAGGGTTGGGCTGTCAGTTGTGTTGGTAGAGGGTTTGATATAGAGTTTGAGCTCAGTTTGAGGGTGGTAAGACTGCCGGGCTTTGGGATATAAGTGTATGGGATTTTGTGCTTTAGTTTCAGGGTCGGCGTTACGGTTCAGGGGTGAAAGTTTGTTTCTCGGCGTCTGGCCCTTCTCCAAACTAACTTGGATCTCCCAAAACAAGCTCCCAAGGAACGCAGTTTATGATTCGGGATCTGGGGTTTAGAATTGGGTTCTGGGAAAGTTCCCATGGACGCCAGCAGTCAGTATTCGCTTGGTTTCAGGGTTGTCGGTTTGGTTGTTTTGCTTTGGGACTAGCTTCGGGGTAATGTCACCATATACAACTAGAACTGAGGAGAAGCAGACGAAGCTCAGTCAGGCCAATCATGGCACAGGCCTGATCAACTACTGCAAAAGCAACTCCCCAAATAGGTGAGGCCTCTTAGCGTACGAGTCATGCATGCATGCATGTATGTATGTAAGTCTGCCTGCCTGTATGTATGCATGCACATGAAACTGTAACCCTAAATCCTATCAAAGATCTTTGATAATACAGCGCAAGAAGCCGACACTAGCGCTAAATCCCGGTGAGGTACAGGCGGCTCGTGGTGTCTTGTCAGTCGATCGATTTGGGAGCTGTCGAAAACTAGGGGTACCTTATTTTGGCATCCTTATAATAAGGACTCTGCTATTTAGGATACTGTATTAGGGTCCCATATTTCTGGAAACTCCCATTCCACAGAGGCCAAATGGCATCGCGTCAAGCAAGAGCGACTGAAGTTCTCCTGCCAGAAACAGGACTTTGCACTTCTTCGAACAGAAGAGAAGGAAGACGTGGCCGAGCCGGGTGCTGGCGGTCATTCTGTCTCGGTATGGGATCTCCACTTTACCTTAACCCCAAGTAACCCACCTTTTTAAGGATTTATATAAAGAAATCATATTTGGGAACCCCAAAATGGTAGGTGCCTTAGGGTCCAGGTACGGTCAGCGACCATGGACACAACAAGGCCGTTGCTCTTCGGGTCTGCACGCAGGCTGTTGCTCACCTTGCGAAGAAGACCGGTAAGTGCCGGAAGCAATGGCTCCAATGCGGCAGGCCAGGAGTGCTATGCATTGGATAGAGGGTACTTGAAGTTGTGCCCACTATATACTGTAATGATAGTAAGGAACCCCCAAAACAGAAAAGGCAATTAGTAAATATTTATTAGGGCCGCAAGCTCAAGGACCCAACGAGCTTGAAGCAGGGGGGATCCGTGGTCACTTCAAAAAGTGCCTCATCTCTCGTCAAGGCCTGCCTGGAGGAGCAAAACTACGGGGGTTACTGCGGAGTCCTTCGACATCGAAGCTGGCAGCGGCGGCCGCGGCATCCAAAATCCTAAACCCAAACCCCCCTTTAGAAGGAGCCCTAAACCCAAACTCTCCTTTAAACAGGAACCCTAAACCCTAAACCCCCCCTTTGAAAGGCTCCAAAAAATCCGTGTCTTCCCCCCGGTCGGCCCGTCTTTCGCTTTCTTCGACTGCAAGGCTTGCTCAGGCAGTGCGACCTACCTCTCTCTCTCTCTCTCTCTCTCTCTCTCTCTCTCTCTCTCTCTCTACATATATATACATATATATATATATACAAGTATACATAAGCATATGTGCATTTATATATATATATATATATATATATATATGTATACATATTCATTTGTACGTGTCTATAGTGTATGTATATATATATATATATATATATATGGGTAGGTAGTCATTCCCCCACCCCTGCATTTCTGCAACTTTGCTTTTATATTCATGGATTCTGCTACCTGGTTTCGAAACTAGTGTCTGTTTCGAAACATATCCGTAGGAGGCCCCAACCCGACCCATTAACCCATTAACCCAATCATTTGCCCAACCCATTAACCCATTAACCCAATCATTTGCCCAACCCATTAACCCATTAACCCAATCATTCTGGCCAAATGAAATTGCCTTAACCCATTAACCCATTAACCCATTAACCCAATCATTTGCCCAACCCATTAACCCATTAACCCAATCATTCTGGCCAAATGGATTTGCCTTAACCCATTAACCCATCAACCCATTAACCCATTAACCCATTAACCCATTCATTTGCCCAACCCATTAACCCATTAACCCAATGATTTGCCCAAGTGGGACTGGACTCTACTCCCAAGTTCATTTGGCCAGATTGATTGGGTTAATGGGTTAATGGGTTAATGGGTTAATGGGTTAATTTCATTTGGCCAGATTGATTGGGTTAATGGGTTAATGGGTTAATGGGTTAATGGGTTGGGGCAATTTCATTTGGCCAGATTGATTGGGTTAATGGGTTAATGGGTTAATGGGTGAATGGGTTAATGGGTTAATGGGTTAATGGGTGAATGGGTTAATGGGTTAATGGGTTAAGGCAATTCCATTTGGCCAGAATGATTGGGTTAATGGGTTAATGGGTTAATGGGCTAATGGGTTAATGGGTTAATGGGCTATGGCAATTTCATTTGGCCAGAATGATTGAGGTGTCAGCTCGGTTGTGTCTTCACTCCTGCACCCGGGGTTTGCGCTTGTTTGTGGGTTTGGTATGGTTGGGTTAATGGATTAATGGGTTGGGGCCTCCTAAGTCCCAGGGCCATTCGGCTAGATGATTGGGTTAATTGGTTAACGGGTTGTATCTTAATGGCGGGCGTGTGTTTCGAAACATGCCGCTGGTTTCGAAACAGACGCCTGTTTGAAAACCGCTGCAGGTCACTCGTCCGGTACCAGATCTTCCGGGCAGTGGGGGTTTGGAAGTGGTTTGTTTGTAGTTGTTTGTTGTAGTGTCTAGGTTTAGGTTGGTTGTGCCTTGGATGCATCTGGTCACTTTCCTGCGATGTGCTTATGTTGTTTTTAACTTGGCGTACTATCGGCTTTGAAACACAGTAGTTGATGCATCACCGTATTTGCACGACTACGCGACGACCGAAATCAATTATTCCAGTCACTATTCACTACTCAGTGTAACCTTGGTCCTGAAACACAACATGCTCCATCGTATTCGCGCGACAACTCGACGACTGAAGGACAGTAGCCACCCTCATATTCTCATGACGACGGGACGACCAAGACACGATATCCACCAGCATATTCGCACGAATACATATCAACTGACATGTTTCGAGTTCTGCGCGGTGCTGCCGGATTGGCGACTCAACAACAGTGCTTATCGAAACATGTTGGCTTTAGAATCCCAGCACTTCGTAGTATCAGCGTGCCCCCCATCCCTCCCAACCGTGGCTGCAAGAGCCATGTCGTTTTCGGTGAAGGGCACTGCTACCTTGCAGAACGGCAAGGTTTCTTTGGTTCTTCAACCTGATGCCCCTGACTCAACTGCTTCGGCCTCGGGATCAGACCATGCTCAGTTTGACGTTCGCGCGGCCATGATGCAAAAGATCGCTGACGGCCTCATGCCCGTACACCCAAGTCGTTCACCACTCTCAGCTCGAACTTTGCTCGTCCATATTTGCCACGCCCAAGAGAAGCAGCAGTTTACCAAGAAAGGCATGCACGGTGAGTGGAACCTCCATGCTGAAGCCGCCTTGGCGGCGGCACTTTTGAAACCCAAACGCCTAGCCCTCACCGCTTCGTCGTCTTCAGCACCGGCACCCTTGGCGATCGAGAATTGCAACATTCCGGTTTCAAAAAAAGAGTCGTCCCCCAAGAATACCAAGAAGGCTGAAGCATCATCGTCCTCGTCATCTTCTACATCGGAGGAGGCCGAAGACGAGCAAGAGGAGACCGAGGATGAGCAGGAGGAGACTGATGATGTGCAACAGGAACCCGTCATGCCCGAATACTACCAGTGGACTGATGATTGGCACGATGTTTACGCTCAGCTGTTGCACATCTACGAAAGTTCCGAGCTTAATACCAAGCGGCGTAGGATCATGGACACGCTTTTGGCTGACCTTCGCAAAGCGAAGGGGCACTTTGATGCAGCCATACAGGCCGTCGTGCACACGAATCCGCGTTCAGACAAATGTGAGAGCTCTGCATTGCAAGATGTTGCAAGTTCGTCATGTGCAGTTTGTTTCGTAGCGGTTGGTCTCTATGTACACGGCGGTGTTTCGAAACAGGGCCTCGGTTTCGAACCACGTGTGGTTGTACACTCGTGATAGCACACATGCGTCTTGTCAGAAACATTGCAAAACGCATTCAACGCAGCTTGATTCTCTGAGGGCGGCACAGTGCAGTAGTTAGCCAGAGCCAAACATCATCAGCTCCGGAGTTTGCTGCTGGGACTCATGATATGAGTTTGCGTCTTGTTGTGTTACATGTTGTGTTCTCTCTTACCTTTTTTGCATCTTGATGCCACAACAAGGAAAACCAAATGACGACTGCCTACAAGAAAGCATTGGACGAAGTCAAGAACCATGTAATGACTGAACTGAAGACCCCCATCGTGATCACCAATGAGACTGTTTCCGGATCCGTGAACGACTTGCCACTCAAGGAGCACTTCCATCAGTACAAGGCCAAGACGTTGGTGGATATCATCGAGAATGTCGCTCTGCAGGATGTGCCATGGGAGTCGATTGCGGCGTGTCTTGCCAATGAACGATATACTGAACTCCCACCTCCGTTTCGCACCGACCGTGTTTCAGACACTGAGTTCGTACTCCAGATTGGGGTTATCAAGAATTCCACCGGCTCCTTCGGCACTGTGATCAAGCACTTCATCTTTGCAGACAAGACTACTTCGTTACGCCACATAGAGGAAATTGTACATGGCACTGGGTACCTCATCGACTACTCACCCAACTTTCGAAGTGGACCTTGTGCATTCCAAATTCTTCTGCACAGAATGTCTCACTGGATGGTGTCGTTTCGTCGGCTAGAGCAAAAGCAGCCCAAGCCGGCCAAAGAGGATTGTGGTGATCTCCAAGTCGGATTTGACTACATTCGAGAGTTCGGCCCGAAATCCAACATGGGAAATGGCCAGACTGAGTGGGCTGAAATTGAGACCCGCAGACTTGGAGGACCGCTGCATGGTTGGAGTGCGGGCTTAGTCAAGGAATGCCTGCGAAACCATTCAGCTTCGAATGTTTACGCTCGTCCAGTCACCAACTTCTTCTTGACACTCCACGACGTCGCAGGTTGGTTTTTCGATGACGTGTTGGTTGAGATCCTGGGTGACCTCAAAAGCCACACTTTGGTGATGATGGGGATGGCCGAAACAGGGAAAACACCGGTGGCTCAAGCCATCGCAATGGCGATCTCAGAATACCATATACTGGTTGGTGGGAAAGAGCAGGAACTGCGGCCGTCCTTTCGCCTCGTTGCTTCCCTGGACCAGCTGCGAGGTGAAGCCGGCATCAAGGAACGTCCGGATATCCTTGATGACCCGGATACCAGCGTCATGTCCGTGACGAAGCTGAAAGCTTTCCTTGACAGCACTCTTACCGAGACACACACCGTGGAACGATGGACCACTTCAAAATTCGAGTCTGGGCTTTGTTAGGCATACTTGTCGGGCTTCAACACTGCAGGGGTGCATCGCCTTGCACTAAACTTGTACACACGGTGATTTGCTGAGGTACGCAATCAGCTCCGAGTGATTTGCGACAATCGAGTGGATGATGATGCCGAGCCAGACTTACCGGAGTCCGAAGGCTTCATTAAGTTCGAGACCTTTATGGACATCATCTCACCAGCCTTCCCCGACAAGTGTTCAAAGCAGGACCGTATGGCCTGCCTCAAACGGGCGCATTGGATCGTAAACATGAAGAAGGCTCTCTATCTTCGACCTGCCGGTACCAAGACAGTTCCTGTCAAGCGCATCCCCTACTTGCACGGCCAGACTGACTTCTTGAACCAAGAGGGCAAGGATATCTTACAGGCCATGCGCGATGGCATTGAGACACCCCCAAAGAATTGGGTCCAAAAGAGACAATGGACTCACGATGTCCTGAGCATGATCATCGAGAAGAAAGAGCGACCACGTCGCACTGCCACGATTTTGATTCCCGGGTCAGGCGGTAACGGTCCCACTTCTCGTGACTCAAAGCCACAAGTTCCATTCTCAGGCCGCATTTGTCCAGACTTCTTGCCGACCGGGGACACCGCCGCTTCTATGGAGGACAGGTGCGAGGCTTCCTCTTCTTTGCCAACCGCCGCTAACGTTGCCTTAAAGACGGAGGTTGAAGAGAAAGCTTTCTTCCCGCTCATGGTGGCGTCCCACGCAGATGACGTCATTGACTTGGCCACGCCAACACCTCCTCGCTGTAAGCGTCCTCGGCTAGATGATGCCTTTCCCGACGTGGGCGAGGATCCTGAGAACTGAGGTGCCTCCTTCTGCGAATGAAGTCGCGTCGGAAGAACCTAGGTGCTTGAATGTAGCTACAACATCGGTTGACTCTGTAGAAAGGTACACTGCACAGAGACTGTTGGCCTCTGACAAGGCACTCAAGTTTTGTAGTTTGAGTGCCCACTGCCACTTGGATAGAGTGTCACATGACATGCCCATTGCCGCCAACTTGGAAAATGGAGCCACTACGATTTGCTGCAAGTGATGTCGATTGATTGCTTTGCAACTGGTGTCCACCAAGCATTGACTTGTTTCTTGGCAAATTACGGGGCTTATCACTAGCAGGTCCACTGCACGACAGCAAGCAGACTGTCACTGTTTCAATGCCATGTGACAAACAGCAGCGAACACAGTTGAGCGTTCTTGGACCTGGTACATGTACTACCTAACGTGGCCTGTGCAACAATGACTAGACGTGCGCGGGAAGATGGCCTTCATGCTCTGGAGCTACCCTCCTGCTCCTTCAAAGAATGGCTCAAGGACGTCGACGAGCACTGCTTTGAGAGCGATGTAGCCTTCCAAAAATATCTCATTCACCGTCGTGTTCTCGACGAAAACGGTGCGAATGTTTCCTTGTCACTGAGGGCAATCGGCATCTTCTTGAAGTACGGGGCTGCTCTACAGATAAAGAGATGCACGAAATGTGGGAAGCCCGCTCGCTTCGAGCAGCGAACCTCGAGGGGATGGACGACTTTTGGATGGACATGCAGTGCTGTTGGACACAAGCACATGCAACTACAACTCAACCAGTACGGCTTCCTCACTGAAATACCGGTGAATAGCTGGTTCCCGTTTCTCCATCTCATCAACATGTTGCGTCTTTCTATGAACTGGTCCACCATCATCCAGGAGTTGCAGGCGGGCTATGGCAACATCGCCAAAAAGACGATTGCGAAATGGCGTGACGTCTTCCAGAGGGCTATCGGTGCTGCTCTGGACAAAATGGACTGCAGGGTCGTCGGTGGCAAGAAGGAGACGGTCGTCATGGACGAAGCCATCGTCGGAGTCCATCCTGAAGATGGTTGGTCAGTTGGTTCGAGGGGGATCAACAAAGCTGGTGCAGAGCAGACTAGGACAACGGCGCGCCTGGAACGGAAAAAACTGGTTTCCAAGGGTGCCATGAAAAGGCTGCCAGCTCGAACACTTCATGGGTCAGAGAAGGCTTCACGCACCGGGCCACAGCTCCTGAAGAAGCCGGCTTCAACACACATGAAGCGGCCATGTGGTGTGATGAAAACGATCCTGAAGAAGCCTGCTGCCGTTCGACCACCAGCCAAACGACTCAAGAAGACTGCCGCAAACCTCAAGACAAACGGTGCCTGGCTATGGCTTGCTGTCGCTGTGGGCAAGAACAAGGAGATCTACACCCATGACAACGGCAAGAAACGCATCACTTATCGTCTTCTGCCTTCTCGCAAGAAAGCCATAAAGAACAAACCTCGCGGCTTTGAAGAAATCCAAAACACGGTTGAAAAGCACGTCGCGAAAGGCTCGTACTTGGTGTTTGACGGTTGGACTGCTACCAAAAAGGCTGTGGAAGCACTAGGCTATGATTACGCACCTCCTGTGAAACATGAAAAGTGTTTTCGTGATCCTGCTACGGGGTTCCACACGAATGATGCAGAGTCTGAAAACGGCAGGCTCAAAAAGTGGTCAAGGCGCCGCTATGGAAAGCTTTCTTTGGACATACTCGAAATGGATGAGTATGTCTTTTATGTCAATGTCGGAACTGACATGTCTTCAATCCTGAAAGGACTGGCACGAGCCAACGGGGTCATTTGCAGGAACGACCTGCTTGAAATCTAGTAGGGGCACGTCGAAGCTTGAAATCAGATGGGGAAAGCGCTGTGCTGCATTGCACTGCTCTGCTGGCTACCACAAGTAAACAAGTTAGAGAAACGATGCTCGTGTGTTGCTGCTGAAACATCTGAGGTGCCTACATTGGCTTGGTTGTCTACGAGCATCTGGGTATGGGGCATGACTAGGGTCAGTACATCATGCGCACTGTATTGTATTGGGCGCAATACCGAAGATGCTGAAATGTAGGGGTGGGGGAATGACCACGCGCCCATATATATATATATATATATATATATATATATATTATACACTACCTTATCTAATTTGATGTTTTCAATATATGACACTGTACTTTCATTAGATTAGAATGTAACATGTGATGCGCATATTGGAAACCTCATAATTGACACTGGGCCTGTCGTAGGTTGAGGCTTGCTTGAGCAGTCGAAAGGGGGAGTAATGTAACTTGACCAAACAGTTCTTCTTCCCAAAAATCCGAAGTCCAAACATCCGCACCCTCAGCTCCGCACAAACGAACCCTTTGCGCAACAGCCTAAACCCTAAACCGTAATCTCTAGCCCCTAAACCCTAAACCCAAAACCGTAATCTCAAGCCCCTAAACCCTATACCCTAGAGCAAAAACCCTAAACCCGAAACCGTTAATCCCTAAACCCCAATCCCTAAACCCTAAATCCTAAATCCCTAAGCCCTCAGACCTGGGTCCCTTCCACGCTCTTCTATGGCCCTGACCAGGCCATCTCCCGAGAAGAAACTGCAGACGCTGTCGCTGTCGCGAAATGTGCAGAAGAGGCTCTTTGAGGGGGAGGGCTTCAAGTTGCAGGTGGCTTAGGGGTTAGGGTTTAGGGTTTATAGGGTTTAGGGTTTAGGGTTTAGGGTCTGGGTTTGAGGGTTTAGGGTTTGAGGACCCCCCAAAGTAGGTAAAATAATGGCCCAAAACCTGCACAAGGCTATTATTCTACATAGTTTTGGGGTCCAGGTGAGGGTTTAGGGTTTAGAGTTCAAATACCCACTGTTAGGGGCCCCTTGGGTTTAGGGTTTAGGCTTTTTTCGGCTGAGGGTTTCAAGTTGGGGGTCTGGGTTTGAGCGTTTGGGGTTGGCACTGAAAGACGGGACATTTAATCGAGTTGTGATCTTTCTCATACCGCTACACAGACTTTAGAGTCTGGCTGTGGACATACCAAGCTCGAACCTAAACCTAAACTTCCGAAGCTGGCAAGCCCCATAATAACCCCCAAGAACCCTAAACCTTCAACCTAGAAGCCCTACGTAAACCTCAAACCCTAAACCCTTGTAATTCCGAAACCGGCAATATTTCCGCAGGCCCCCGAGCGAAGTCATCGAGCGGTGGCGACAGCAGGCGATCCGACCTTTTGTGCAAACATAATGTAGGAACCTGATTAAGAACCTTGGGCCTTTATTCGGTTCCTTACATGAATCCTAATATTTTGGGGGTTACAGGCCCAGGGTTTCTTAATCAGGTTCCTACATTACGGTCCTTCAGTTGTGTTCCGTGGGACATTGCGGCTGAAATTTGTACTTGGGGGTCGTCGGTCTTGGACCTTGAAACGCTTGAGGCGTTAGGTTTTGTTGGTTAGGGTTCAGGGGTTTAAGGTTTAGGGTTTAGGGGTTAGGGTTTAGGATTTAGGATTCAGGGTTTGAGCAACGAACAGCAATGAATAACGTACTTAAGGGGGTGGTGCGGGACTCACCAAGTCCATGAATTGTTGGGGGTGGTCCTTAAGGGTTCTTCAGGAGGTTTATAGAATATACAATTCTATAGGTTGGAGTTTAGGGTTTCATACCGGTTCTATACTGGGTGTTCCTCGGAAGCATGCTTCATGCTTTGATCGTATGGAGGCAAGTGTGTTTTGAGGATATTATTCTTTGTATGTCCGGTCCATTATGCTTACAGATAATATGTCTTTGGTATGTAATGCACATTTTCAGATGTTTGCTGCTAGCAGGTTCAACGGAGTTGTGGGGCCAACCCAGCCGCAGGTCAAAGTCTCAGGACCCTCCTTGTACCCTCAAAAAGAGGTATATGGTCCCAAACAAGAGGCATTTAGTGTCTAATAGAGGGTAGATGGAGGGCCTAGGTATCAGGCCTCTCATGTTTTGTTGGCATGCTTGGACATGTCAGATCTGAAGCGTATGGATGACTTGAGCCCTCAACTAGGTTCCTGAGTAGTACCCTTTTGCCCTTTTCGTTTTCGGGTCCCCTTGTTAGGGCTACTCAGGAACCTATATAGTCAAGATGGACCACTTGAGAAGAGGGATGGTCGTAACCACGTAGACAGGGGTTGGTTTCTTGATTTGGGTGCCTTGTTGAATCCCCTAACGGAGGATGCCCATCACAATGGTGGGCAAGGACCCGAAGAAGGGCCCTAAATCAGAGAATCAGCTGCAGAGACAAAGCAGCGGATGTGATTATTGCGATCACTGCGGTGAACTCCGCGCATGAGCTTCGACCAGTAAAGGGCTCCAGCTTTCATGGTGGCGATACGTGTAAAGCCTATTCAATGCCCAAAAACCCCGACTCAAAGCACGTCTTGCGATCTTCGTCTTTCTTAGGCTGAACATGCCCTGAATACCCTACATCCCAAACTCAATGCCCTGAAGCCCGAACTTTTCTTGAACTTTATAGCAGGTTTGTAGTTATGTATCACATTCTTTATCTTGTTTCATTCCAAAAATTCATAAATTTCCGGTGCGGTGGCAACGCGCACGAAAGCGAGAAGACGGTGGCCAGTTTCTCTGACAAGGACAAGCGGGAGATGATGGTGTACTCCAGGTTTAGGGTTCTAGAGTTTGGGGTGTAGGGTTGAAGGTTTACACAATTTCGGTGTTTCCTTGCCATAGTTACGGCACAACACACCTTCACAGTTTAATTTGCATTGCTCCGGGCACGGTTTCCCGTGGCAGTTTGTTTTAACTCCTGTCTCCTGTTCCTTCAGTATTCTGTATGTCTAACGTCTTGAAGAAACGTCTTCAAGCCTTTCCTTACAATGGGTCTAAGGATCCAGCTTAGGGTTAGGGAAGTTTAGGGCTTAGGTTCAGGATAGTGGTATTGTAGCCTAGTAGTATTTGTGGAGTGTAGGGTTTTCGTAGTGAGTAGTAGTTGGACTCCTATCACAGGTTGTACCTTGACGGGCTTCGGGTGCCAGTATCCTCGCAATTGAGTCGCCTGAACAGAGGCTTTCTCAAGCCCTTATCGTCTTAACCGGGGAACCCATGTGAGGCCGACTACGCAAATTCCCTGTCACGGACCCCGAGCGTCGGCTCTTCAGTACATGGGCTGTTCTGGATATTACTACAGTAGAAGCCAGAAAGTTGGAACATCATTATCCCCATGCCCTTAAGGCAAAGTATAAGGGATCCTAGCACTAATCCTCCTAAATCTCCTAGATCCATGTTCCAACTTTCTGGCTTCTACTATAAGGGGTCTGTGGGGCCAGAAGGCTTGTAGGTGCGGGGTTGGGTGGTCTTCGGAGTTAGGGGGATGAGGGGACAGGGTGCGAAGGAAGGGGGGGGGACTGTTTACTCGGTTCGTTTTGGGGCTTAGGGAGCGAAGTTTGGGGATTAGAGCAATGATTGGAGAGTTTCCCTATGCTTCCGAGGACCTTATAGTTAGGGCCCTAGACCCCTTAAGGACCCAAGAATAAGGTCCCTGGAAGCCTAGGGTTCGAGAGGTGTGGAGTTGAAAGGTACAGGGGTTGAGCTTTGCGGCTGCATGGTTGCAGTATTTAGAGCAGATGCCTCGAAGCTTCTAGCAAAGCCCTAAACCGTAACCCTTACATCTTGAAGCCTAAGCTGCCCTAAACCCGTAAACCTTCAACCTCAAACCCACAAAAGCTAAGGGTCAGGACCGATGTTCCAACCACACGGTTGGATCGGGGCGCGGAAAGCCCCGGACGAATCCCACACCCTAGAGCCTTTCGTGCGGATGTTCTACGGCACGCCGTCATCGTACCATTGGTGGGACGCGGCAGGGAGTAAGCCCGTCGCAGGTGTCCAAGCATGAGAAGAAGATCCAGAAGCGCAAAGGCTGCACGAACAGTGTAGTTGATGCCTTCCGATTCGAGCCAGGCCGAGGGCCCTTGGCCAACAAGAAGTTGCCTCCAAACGTGAGCGAGGAGGATCACAGAAGTTTGCGGGCGAACTGCCTTTCATCCACCCAAAGAGTGGCTGATGCTCCAGGCTGACAGTGAACCGACCCGTCAGCTCCTAGTACTGACCAAGCAACCATGGCAAAGCGACAGTGCCGCCGTTGGCACAGAGGCCCGCATCCGCGGCCGTGCCCATCGTGGCTCCGCGGCTTCTCCGCTTCGCTTCTCCGCCGCCAGTGCCGCCGTTGGCACAGAGGCCCGCATCCGCGGCCGGGCCCATCGTGGCTCCGCGGCTTCTCCGCCGCCAGAAACTTTCTGACTTTGAACACGGTGGTTTGTGGATTGAGTCTCCTACTGATTTCATCATTAAGCAATACATGGGGATAAATGTAGCTGGCACGGTCTGTGAAATCCCAGGGGATCGACTGCTCATATTTAGTGGCAAG